CAAATTTGATGAACTTTTTTTTATTTTAATTCTATGAATTCATAGAATTCAAATAAAAAAAAGTTTATTGAATTTTGTCAAGTGGTTATCGAGATATCTTCGTTTAAATTTTAAAATTTTTTATTTTTAATAGGGGGTATGAATAACAAATTTAGGGGGTATGAATAACAAGTCCCTATTTCATATGTGCTGCAACTTGTAGATCCACTAATTGAATCATTACTCAGAAAATTTTTTGACATTTCACTTGACCGATATAATTAAAAATCAGCAAATCATTAATATAAATACTTTAACTTTAGAGAAGCTCTGCTACAAGGCAGTGGGTTTATACTTCTAGAGAAATAAAAACTAGTGCGATATCACTTTTTTTCAATAATTTTTAATAGATAATCATGAATTGACAAATTATTATGTACAGTACATATGACGTATTTACTATATTTTTGCAGAAAAATTTGCTTGCGTAATGTATTAGGAGATAAAAAAATTGATTAGTGGTCGTAGCTTGCACTATATTTGTGATAAAACTGATATTAGATACTCCAATAGTTGTTCAATAAGAAAACACTAAAGCATACTATTGTACGTATATAGATGATAATGCTAGAACTTGAACATTTTATTAATGTACTGGTTTTATTTTTGATTGTTCTAAAAAAATCGCATAAATTTAACTGTCCCCGCTATAGGCTTAACTTTGAATCCGCCAGAGTGACAATAAAGATGCAAGAATGTGACGTAAATTCTTACAAATTTCGAATATTAAATAAAAAATTTTCATTTCACCCTTGCACTACGCCATTTTTTTTTATAAAATGCTTTTTGATTGGTAGACTTGGAGGTGACCGATATCGATATAGATGATATAGATCGATATTTCTAAGAAGTGGGCAACTATACCCCATTGTATGGTGCATAATCATGTGAAATTACATAATACGTGTCAAATCACGTGATAGTCTCATTGAGAATAAAGTTTGTCATACAGTATATACCAATTATATAAAAACCGCGCTTATGTATCAATATGCATTTAATAAAATACGCCTCTGAAGGCGGCAAAGCATAACTAAAAAAAGAATTTTCATAGAGCCATTTTGTTTAAGATCATATGATATTAAAACATAACGTTTTATTTGACTTAGTTATTAAAAATTAATTTTTTTTTTCTACAGTACTGTAATTTTTGATATTTACAATTGTTTAAAAAAATTTCTATATGCTGAGAAGATCTCAGATGAATTCATAATATAGTACAAGTGCAGTTTGTGTTTGTTTCTTATGTTTAAAAAAAATTATAAAATCGAAAAAAATGCAATAATTGTATAAAGCAATGCGAATGGAAAATAAAATGTTTTGCGATCAACGCAAAAAATCTAAATCGAAATATGTTTGTGTTTGTGTTTGTGATTTTAAACGAAGTGCCTATTAGTATTACTAACCAATGTTTTTTTTAAAAAAAAATAATAATAAAAAAATAAAGAAACGATTGTGCGAAAATAAATATCTATTCTATCTAATAATATATGCCGAATCTTGCCGAGTTTTTAAAAAAAAAAAAGAGTAAGAATTTTAAGGGCAACAAACGCCTTTGAGACCATCAATCATTATTCCTGAAGCGAAAATATCATTAGGATAATAACCCCAAATATCAGCGTGACCAGTCTCTACGGAAATTCCGTTATAGTTGCCAAATGAAGTTGGTAAGAATTTTGAAGGTAAAAAGGAAACTTGATGTCCAACATTTACAGCTTTTGAAGGATGCTTTGAGTTATGCTGAGAAGTGGATTCTTGAACAGGTTCATAAAGATCATCTTTAATTAATTGGGTATTTAATTCAATACGAGCTTTTTTGTCTTGTTCCAAGTAACCGCGATGTTCACGATAAATATTAATGGAGCTGAGTTCTTCATCATAATCCATGCGATTGCGAGTCGATAACAGATTATTGTTGCGAATGCGCTTAGTTGATGATGTGGAATTATTGATATGGGAAGTGCGAAGAGTAGATTTAGTAGTCATTGCTCCAGTCTTTGAATTCATGTTTTAAAAAAGCTAGTAAATTAAAGAGGACTTAAAGAGATCAAAGTTTGCTATAAATGAGATTCGATGTGACGAACTACTGGTTATGTGCAATCCAAGCACGTATTTATACTTTTTTACCCAGCATGCTTTTTTAAAAAGGTCAAATGATAGTGTTTCACTTTTGGGTTAGATTAAAAAAACGCACAAGCAAATCAAATACATATAAAGACGAGATAAAATTAGATAATTATCCGTAAAAGGAAAGTAATAACCCGAATGTGTGATGACTTTAATTGGGAAGTTTACGAAATGTTATGCCACAAATCTATTTTTACTTTCACTAGCCACAAAATATCTAATATTTCTTTTTTGTGCGAAGTTACACACAGAAAACAATAGAAATTCGTCTAACCCCGACACTCAATTTAATTCGCCAAAGACTTATTTTTGGAAAAATGTGAAAAACCCTAACCTTAATCTCATGTTTATTAATCGTAATCTAAAATTAGCTCATTGATGTAATGTCGAATGGATATTATTAATATGCAATAAAATAATAAATAGATACTTTCGTGCGTACTTTGTCTAAAATTTTACTGGTTGAATGAAAGTATAAGCCACATTTGTGTGATTTTTAGAAATTTATACGTAGAAATTTGTTTAATTAAAATCCCTTCAATTGTATTACATAAGAATCTCTTTTGGTGCTTCTAGATCTCTCCTATATTTTTCCATTTCACGCTAGAATTCACGATTTTGTGTTACATCAATTTTTCTCATGATAACGCCATCTTCATTCGCTATATTAATATTCATTTTTATACTTGCATTTGTGTTTAAAAGTATTTCACAATAAACGGTCTCGACTTCTATCAATCCTCTCTTTTAGATATGAATTATTTGATACTATGAGGCTTTGCAAACTTGTTTTCCACCTATGGTATAAAATTATGTTCTATTTCTTTCCTTAAATCACACATATTAGTATATATCGATATACATACAGGTTTACGTAAATTGTCACAATATATAAATGTACACTTCTACGTATCAACACATTTCCAATACCGGTTCTGAAGACGGTATATAATAATTCCGAATTCCAAATTTGATCATAATCATCATTAAAGTATGTAGTACTATCTGTTATTATAAGATTACAAAGATTGTGATGCTTTTTTTATTATATAATTAGTTAATTATATGAAGGTTAAAGTTATACGTACTGTATGTGCCATGTTTTATTTTGATTTTCGATCTTTTCTTTTAATACTAATGATAAGCAGTCTAAAATATTTTTAATAACAGATAATCATATTAAATATTGTAAACCAGTTAATTGAAGTATTGAACTTCTAGAAAGTTTACATTTTTTAAAAGAGATTCAAACATTTTATTATCCCATCCAATAATCAATAAAAAAAAATAGTATATGGGATCTTTGCTAGGAAAATCCCGAAGGGTGATTTAGATCCCATATATCAGATATCGTACATAACGACATTTGTCAATAACTAATCTGTGTAACATTAGTATTTTTATTGGTTGATATTTATAATATACCGGTGTTTTTTATATTAGGTGTACTTTATCTTAACAAGTTAGAAAAAGTAGTTGTTTATTCTGCAACTTGTTAGGTATTAGAGCTAATCTAAGTTGCAGTTGAATATATATTTGTTCAATATGCTTATAAACAAGGAATTTCATTATTAGAAATTAAATATAAAACTAATAAAATTGCAAAAGTATAGTATTATTATTTTTGTTAGGAAGTATATTGGTTAGGTTATAAAGTTTATATTAGAAATAGCAACTTTGATATGCAATTTAGAAATCTTGTTACTTTTTTATCACTTTTTCCTATAGCAGGAAAAAGCAATTATGCCAAATCTGTTACTTACTTTTTGTCTAATATTAAAGAAGATATTAGTTTTCAAAAGCTTCTTAAGCATATATATTTAGTTAACTCTATATATGCAGAATATTTTTTTGGGTTTGATAAAGTATTAGAAAGATTTAGTATCTAATTTATTAAGCAAAATATTAGTGACAAGTGACTAACAAATGAGAAACTAAAGTTGTAAGTATCTTCTATATAAATAAAAAGAGAAAGATTAGAGTTACTAATTTTTAAGTATGTTAGTAATAAACATTATATAAGAGAAGAAAGAACTATTAAATTCTGAAAAAAAAATTTATAGAAACTTATATCTGATTTAGTATATATATTCTTTTATTCTAATTCATCTTTATATGAACTTTTTTTAAATGCTAAAAAAATTAATAAAGCAGGTTTTCAACATATATTTTTATATTATGAATTAGATATTAATTACCTTAATATAATTTTAAAACAAGATGTTTATAAAACTGAAGTTTAGAATATAAAAAGCTATTAAGCTCATAATATCATATCTTACAAGTAGCAAAATTTGCAAATAATAAATAGTACTAAAGCTAAAAAATGATTTTCTAAAACTTATACTAATAATAAAAACAATATAGCAAAACTATATCACAAATACTAGACTACTGAATAGGAAAAAAAAATACTTGAATCTATTCTTTCTAACAAAGATTTTTCTAATAATAAACTCTCTGAACTTCTTTCTCAATTTCAAACCAAGTCAACTGACTGAACAGAATCACAAATAAAGATTTATTAGAGGAATAACTAATTGAATAAATAGAAAAATATTATAACAAGAATATAGTTAGGGTATCAACAATTGTATCAGAATTTTATTTTATATTATGTTAATTTTTTTTGTTTCTGATCATTTTCTTTAAGGACAAATAGATTAAATTTAGAAAAATATTTTAAATATTCTTAAAAAAATAGGAAAATATTTTGTTAAATTATATAACATTATAAAATTTGATTTAAAAATAAATTTTTAATTTCTTAAAAGTCTTTATCTAAAAATAATATATAGTTTTAAATTTCAATTTAGTGAGTATTTTTTAGTTTAGTAATAAGACAAGTAAAATACAAGTAAATATATATTTTATTTTATTTTTTTTTATTTTTAAAGTGGCTTATATTGCTAGGTGATTTTTATTAGTTTGATATATGAGATTATACATAGGCAATTCCTACAGTTTGTAATTACATGAAGAGTATGCAACAAACTACATATACAACTTTAGTTATTATTTAATTTAAGTAGTCTGCTATACAGGCGATAGACTACCTGATTAGTTCTATACTATACTACTATACCTGTAATATACTTGTGAATTACCTATTTAAACACTTTGTTCAACTAACCTATATATTACAAGCTAATATCACTATAATATTTAACTGCTTAAGTAAGCTAGCTCATTATAGATCTATTTTTTGACTTTAGCTTAGGTCCTCTTAGGATTCTTATTACTCAATATATTGTAAGCCTACAGAGCTCTAGTTAATCTCGAAGCAAATCTACTAGAGCAATCTATACTCATTTCATGAATTTACCTAGTTTAAACTCTTGTAGATATTCATACAACTTAGTTTCTACTATGACTTTCTACTGGTTTTCTGTTTACTGATCTCTTTAGATATTTCATGAGATAGATCCTCCTAATCTAGTTAGCTACCAAGTCAGGTTAGTGTTGCTAATCCTTCTTGTAGAATAGACTTACTTACACCTCTATTGATCTACATTTTTAGAGTGACAGTTTCTTTTCTAGATCAAGCATTAGCTGATATGACTGTCAAAAGCTATATTATTTCACTAACTCTAGATTTCTACCATGCAGGTCTCCTGCTCATAGATCCTATCAAAATTTATTCATATAACATCAGGAAATTTTTTTTAGTGAAATTCTGCAAAGATTTGTAAAAAATGCTAGTTTTTGCAGAATTTTAATAAAAAATCTACAAAATTTTTTAAAATTTGAAGTTTTATGCAGAATTGCATTTAATTTCTTTGGTTATAGCTAGTGAGTTTGAAGTTTTGTGCAGATTTTTATTTAATTTATTATATATTTTTTTGCAAATCTATGCAGAATTCTATTAAAAAATTTTTCCTAATGAATATTATGTCTCTTCAAATATCTTATCATATTTCCAATATCTAAATGATATTAGTATAATGTGATTTATAGAGTTACAACACCAGAAATGAACAGAGTTTACCATAAGTTGAGTACAAAGGTCTAAGTAATTATTCAAATTTGTTAATAGTGGGATTTAAACTCTAGACCTCTTGCATAGCAGTTTGGCATATATATTTTATTAAATATACTCAATTAATATTATCTTCTATTTTAGTATCTTGTCTTTTGTAGTAGTATTATAATAGATCTAAAACTAGAATAATACTACTTAAACAATATTTTATTTAAAATTAAATACAAAGAGTTTGATTTATATTTCTTATGAAAATAGATAGAGAAAATTTTATAATTTAAAAGAACTTATTTGAGTTACTATAATAAATTTATCTTTTCATTGAAATAATATTATTTAATCCTCTATTTTAAGTTATATAAATAATCTGCAAAATACAATTTTTTGTTATTATTATAGTTATAGTTTAATTTTTAGTAGTGATTATAATCTTTATATAAAATAATTATAAGCAGTTCTTAAGTAGATTAAGTAATAAAAAATGCAAGTATGTATTATTTATATTATACTAATTAAATTAAAATTGGATATGTCAAAACTTTTGTTATTTCACAATTATATAAAAGTTTTGAATAATTAAATTGATTTGATTAGTATTAATTTTTATTTATAAAATTAATATTAATATAGAACTTGCATAACAATTAAAAAAATTTTATTCTTTGAACTGAATATTTTAGAATTAGATAAACACTAGTCTTAAATAAGTTAGATTAGATATTTAAATAGTTTTGATTTTTTTTCACTTGAGCGATCTTGTCCTTTTCTTTATTATAGATAGTTTATTAGAAGATAACATACAATACACTATTATATCTCAATATAACTATATACTGCTCTAAAGTTTGGTCTGAACTAACTCAGCTACATTAAACATATCTAAGTTCGATCTGCTGCA